TATTCAACTCTTGTTTAATTAAACTTAATTAAAATGCAATTCTCCATTGTATTGCATTGTAATTGAGTTTAATTAAACTCCAATTAAAACGCAACCCTATATAGGAACGCGTTTTAATCGAGTTCATATCGCAACTATACTAAAAGTTAATTCAACTATATTAAAAGTTAATCCAATGAAGTCCTCGGAACATATAGCAATACAAGTATGTGTGTACTACCATGTCAGAACCAAACTGCAGATCGCTTTGAATTATTCCGATTAAAATGGTACCACAGGAATTCCACACAAACTATTAATAACAATTTTATGGTTATTATTACATTGTATTATTCGTAAAAATAAAAAAAAACGTTGAATTACGTATGAATGTTGTTATGTAATTAAAGTGGTAAGGCCAAACAATGTGGCAATTCGTTTTATCTTAAAATAAATAAAGAACATACAAAAACAGAATGGTGATACACGAATAATGATCCTTTTCATTAAACTATGTAAGAACAATCTCTGATAGTGATATGCCAAATTTTAAGACTGGAACCTAAATGGTATAATAATTTATTTTATTATAAAACTGTATAGAACATTATATATATAGAACATTAATGTAAGCTCTGGTCAGAATCAAGAGATCCAATCTGTCGATGGCTACTTGAGCCTTATATTATTATGTAAACATGCAGCTGTTTTGAAAGGAAGCGCACCATTGGATCAAATACACCCACAATTCAATGATATATATATATACACACAATAGAGCCACCGTCACTCTCCCGCAGAAATACATATGTATTTATTGTTACTAGTAGTTTTCTCAATTTTTCAAAGAAGTATATATGGAATATTTGAGTTATTTGCCAGCGTATATATAGGAGCCTCCATCGAACACATTTTACCCTTTTTATCTCACATAAACCTTTAATGAGCATACATGCAAGTAAAACTATGTCTACTTCACGATCTCAAACTAAACCAAGATGGAGTCTCGAACACAATATACTTATACGTTATTGGCCATTGTATATCATCAATTATACTGGAGGGACCGCCATGTATCGATTGTTGTATAATGTAACGTTCACATTCTATTATACGAACTAATCGATAAATCGGGGTACGAGTGCATTTATTCTAGTGTTTCATCATTTTGTAAGTACTGGACACTTGTTGCCATTAATAAGGATGTCTAAGTACACTAATCACTTTAGGAAAAACTCTATGTGAGGAAAATCCATTAACGGAATTTGTCAGAAAGTGAATGTAGCTGAGTACCCGGAAAGGTAAAGTTAGAAAAAAGAGTGAATGAACAAACAACGATTATTTGATATGAGTACATCTTCTATCATTGTTGAATTCGAAACAAAAATAGTTTTGATTTCAACAGTATATAGTAATCGTGTCTCTTCTTTCCTTCACACAATTCTCCTTCTGTTGTTAATATATTTATTGTTGAAACCGAACGTAATCGGGAGATTCTCTGGCTGAAAAGTCCTGTTCTGTCGACGGAATATTCATGGTACTCATAAGTTTCGTTTTCTGAGCTCTCACATATCAATCCGCACTGTGAGTTATTCAGAAATAAAAAAAATCAATATAATAACATTTATTCAAGTTATACATTAAACCTGTTTTGATTATATACGGCTTTTGTTGTCTTTGACCATATGGTTAATGCACCGTCGATCTCCACAGCTATCTATCATATCAATTGTCTGCAAATGGAATTAATACTTTAATACTTGATGGAGTGAGTAATTGATGAACTGTCTGACTGACTAGTTGATGGATTGTTCAATTGACTGCTGTATTGACTGATTTTATTTATTTATATGTTTTGTGTGCTACCCCACCAGTCATGTTATGTGATATATATGTTTTCGGATCAAACCGTCTAACACGAATGTAACACGCACACATTCTCATCAATGACGAATGTTTATGTTTCCTACATTTTGCTTTTTGATGTGAATTAAAATCTGTTTCTAAATGTACTAGTACAGACTGCATGGGTCCTCGTGAGATAATCTAGCTATAGGAAGGCGTTCACTTCATTATATTTGACATTTATGTTATTTACTAGGTCGACCTATTTGCCGATGCCACGAAGTATCTCAATGTGCAAATAATTACATACCACGAACGTTACGGTCAAGTTTTGAACCGACTCGGGCGTATTTTAATTCGTGTCTGGAATTAATTACACAAGAGATTCATTTACCCATTTATTTATTATAACGAATTACGTGTTGTTATTTATGTGATATTTTACATTTATATGAAGAGTATTGAATGTTCTCTGTTAATCTTGTCGCATTTTTACCGCCTTACTTTGGTGTGTGTAGTGCATGTTTTCACCTTCGCCCCTAGCTACTAACCAAGTATCCGTGTTGGTGCGTGGTGTAGATCGTGTTTAGCATTGGAGACAAGCATGGAAGATAGAAAGACTTCTTCTACCTTCCATGAGACAAGTAATCATACCAATAACATTTTTGTTGTACCCAATAAAAACGGTTTCACGTAGTTCATATTCATAGTGGCGTTGTAATTGTATGAAGTGCATCCTTTTTTCTATTCATATATACATATAATTTATATATAATTGTATGCCTGCAAAGAGTTCCAAAATTGATATTTCTGCCAGACGTACATGAACAGGGTGTTGTAGGGTGTGTCAATCGTTTTTTCATTGTGGGAGTAGTACGAACCTACGAAAGTATAATGACCTTCAAAACGGTTCAATGCCATACCTGAGTATAGTATTATAGTTCTCTCTCATTTCATTAAACATTAATGTCTACTTTAACATGATTCCGGCGTAAGAGCCAGTAAACCCCTTGACACAAATCTCTGTTAATCCTGTGTAGGATTACAAGGACAACTTAATAAATTGAATTAATAAATTGAAATATACAAGTACGTGTGAAATGTTATAATCAATCAAGTGAGAAAAATATTTTTGTGTGTGACTGAGTTGTTTTAAACACACACTAACTGTGTTATTATTCTATGTGCGAATTTATAACAGCTTTTTCATACTGTATCTGATTTTTAGGGTATTGGGGCCGCAATCAGCGCCCGACATATGAATATACAATGAACCATTAGAAAAAATCTTGACAAATATGCATAAAATATTAAGTATAATACAATACAAAAATACCATTTTTACAAGATACAACACAGAATGGGTGTACATCATTTACGCCGCAAAATGAGTTGACCAAGTACTGTAGCAAAATGCATATTATTTTTTTACATATCAGTTACCTGATAAATTAAAGCGGGAGGGTCGTCCCCTGCGCACGCGCGGGAATTGAGTCCCAAGCGATGATAACAACAGACGATAAAAACGGAAAGGCTTATGAGCAGACGCTTGTTTGTAAACAATGATACGCTATGGTCATCTGGCGCATGCGCAGGTGAAGACTCCCCCGCTTTAACTGGAAGGCAATACACAATACACAGGTGGATAATGTAATTTACTATATAAAATTCAACATAGCACAAACAGTGACTGTAATTAAATACGCATCTAGAAAGTTAATATTTTTGTTTAGCCCCAAGTCCCAGCATAGCACGGAATCAGGTGCAATTACGAATAGAAGACACACTACAGTACAATACGATTTCTTCCAAAGGCATGTCACGCACGCCAATATACGATACATGGTGGTACAATTGGCTCAGTGCACACTGTCAGCTCACTCTTCAAAACCGCACACTTAACTACCCAATAAATTACAGTGCATGCAACTTCGATCACATACACACAATTATCGGTATGACGTCACAAGTATATCTGACACTGATACAAAACAAACTGGGTAGGCTTTTATAGACCATCTCCCGTTCACTGCGAGATCTCGTTCTATGCGTGAAATCTAAAGTAAAACAGGACAAAAAATCATAGTGTCGTAGTGACGTCAACACTTCGCATGCGATTCGACAAACGGGGAAAGTATTTTTTGGGTATTTCCACACTTATTATTGTTTCTATACACATTTGATTGTGGTCAATTTGCTGAAGTAATCCTATCATAATGCCATGATCCTCTTGGGAAATTCGGTATTGTGACATTGAAATATAATAACAGAAATACGATTTTTGCAGCAGAGGTTCGGTTCCACGTCTTTTAGGTATTATGCAAGATCTCGCAGTAAACGATAAATTCAAGACCTTGAACACAATCCGGCATTTTTTTAGATTATTAAAGCTAAGTTGTCAAGGTAACATCGCCGTATAATACTCATTTGTAGATGTATGGATAGATGGATTGTAAACAAATATTTCCGGACTTTCAAAAGACAAATATGACAATTTTCTTCATATGCATTAGTAACATAAATTTCCACCGGCATATAAACCAGTCAGCGCTGTAAATAAACCAAATGTTGCGATCATAACTCGCGCATATATGATGGTTAACAGCGACGACTCCATTGTTCTGTGTCGTTGCTAGAGCTGTCCATTAATTTATAATCTGCTGAGCGAGAGGGAGTAGCGTTTTTTTTTAATTAATGACAGCGAGATTCACCAGACTGAATGCTGATTACATATACTTTTACTGAATACCTAGATAATTGCTTAATACTGTTTATTTACCTGATGATGTGAAGTTTTCATACGCCAACGAATACAGTTATAACAACACGCACCAGGTACATGTATTTGACAACTCCACGTATGGTTCCAGTGGTACATGCATGTGTGTTTATATCACCTGTCGCAGATACGACCAGTAACAACTCTAGAAATGCTATTCTGTGTCCGTGTATCGCATACTACTGTTACATTGGTAGAAAAGGAAACACTGTGTTCTGGGTTGTTTACCTTCAGCATACCTACACCGAACTAATCACACGTTTACGAGAATACCGCATGAATAATGTATAATGATCGTATTGACCGACGCATATACTAAATACATATATTTAGTCATAATCTAGAGCGAGATAACAATCCTAATTACCAACAAATGTTGTTTCACAAGATCTTTGCTTCCACGATACGCCTGTGTAAGCAAATATGCTGGGCTATGACGTCATGCGTAGAGACGTTCTTAATACATTCAGATATAATGGACTTCGAAAATATATATTGCGACAAACAATATACCTTAGACCAAAATGGCCGCCGAAATCTCGTTGGGAACGAGAGACCCACGAGATTTGATTTTTGTCATAGTGTCTATTGCCCCGCTGATCTCTGTAACATTCGGAACCGTCAGTGGATGCGGTCTAATTATGAGAAATAGAATACTAGTATAAATCGCCCTTATTCCCAAGGAATTCAATCAACCTGCAGTTACACTTCAATACGAATTGTCAACACCAAGGAACTGGAGCTAGGGTGCTACGCAATCATGCGCGGTACAATTATTTCACGGGTTGAAATTAACATACCATAAATTGAACAATAATGTTGATTTATCAGTATGAACATTTAGTTCAAAATAACGTTGTACTTGCAAAAAGCAACATACATACCGGTAACAGTGCGTGGTTCGTAGTTGTTGACCTTATAACCTTTCTTGTTGCAATCTGACTGTTTACAGTTCAATAAATGCGGCTAGTAGTTGCATCCGTGGTGCATGTGCAGTAGTGCTGTTTTCTCATGAGAGTTATGGTAATAAATTGAATGATTGATTGTCGATTGTCAAAAGGCGAGACAGGGCCTCGCCATACTAGTCATGTTAAATTAATCCTGTCGAGATGGGATACGTGAATCTCAAGTGTGCTTTCATAGGCAAACCTAATACAACAATCGGGCACAACCAAAATATGTTATGTGGTCTATCATAGTTCAACACATATTAACGCACGATATACGAATATTCGTATATAGCATGATTGGGAAAAATAATCAAAACCAGTAATGGAGTTATGTTGAACGTTTCGCTTAATTGCGTATATGTTACCATATAAACCAAATACGAGTGTAGTGCTAACAGTTAGACTTCACACTTACACTTACTCGCATAACTGAATAAAGGTGCAATATGGTGCAAAAAGTATTTTTTTGTTTGATACTGCATGTTGAGCAACACATTTGATTATAATTTATCATCAAAATAAAAATATTGATTATGAAATTATGATTATGAATTGAGAATGAAAAACACCAATTAGCAGTAAGTATTACAGCACCCATTATAACAATCAGTGCACATGTGCATAAGAAACTTATATTGTTGCATCAATCAAATGCTTCGTTACGCGTTGCTCGACCAATATTTAAGATCACAATCAGATGTATTTATCAACGTACACATATATTAACATAAAATAAATTACATATTCTCGCATATAATGCATTGGTAATAGTTTCTTTCTATATATAACCTTGTTCGGGTGGTCCGAACAAATAACAAACAAGTATAAAAACGCAAAAAGCTATAATTATGAATAATTAGAACGCACGTCATATTGCATTATTTGATCATAACAAAACACCAGCCTGTAACATGTATGCCCATCAATCATTATTGCAACAGATGTATGTCTGATACTTAATGGAGTGGAGCTAGTTTGTAAAATATGTTGTTGTTTTTTCTGTTATGTGATAGAAAGAAATACGCAATATTCTACAACAGATTGTAATTTTATTATTTTATTAATTAATTAATTTATTATTATTATTATTATTATTATTATTATTATTATTATTATTATTATTATTATTATTATTATTATTATTATTATTGTTATTATTGTAGTAACTCACTGTTTCTGTAACTAATCCTGATATTCTAATCGCTAATAAATGAAATAAATTAATTTTGTTTTCAGATATTGATGTCGGTGTGTGTCACCTCTGCAAATATATATTACAGAGTACTAACGCCACTACAGTGTGCATTGATGAAGAGTTGAAGTGCGATGGAGTAATCAACTGTCCCCATGGATATGCGGCTGAAGAGGACTCAAAGGGAAGTAAGTAGCCCATTGTGAACATTACACCTCTATTTTAGTATTCTTCGAACTACTTCAAATCATGACTTGCATTACTCCAATCTCTTAAAATGTTTCTCTCAGTGAATTGTCGACTAACGGTGGTAAATGTTAACGCTACTACTTTAATGTACTTGTAAACGTCGAGGCACGCCGTTTATTACATGTAAAATCACTCAAATGCGGCTCAATGTGTTTCTCATGTATGTCAATATATTTGGTAAATTATGTGTCAAGAAAATCTTGTAAACATTGTAAAATATGCCTTTTAAAATATGTATAGAGCGTCTTTAAGCGAGCAAGCGATTCAATAAACAGCAACTGTTTTGTATAATGGTCTTCATTAAACTATTATAAATATTAATTGGGTATTAATTATTTAATTATTTAATTAATTAATATTTATGTTTTTGTTAATTACAAAAATAATATTTTTTTAATATTAAATATATTTATGTATTTGCGTGGATTTACACAAATATCTCATCCATGTATTGTGAAACAAGAACCATATTCGTATAAGAATAGTGAAAAAGACAGATAAATTGTTGCGTTTAGCCTCACTTCATTTTACACCATGGGGTTAATACATATTTCTTGAACTGATTTGACTATGTTGTGTAGCGTATCATGCAGATTGTTTTGTCGATTGTTGTCAGTCGTCTGTTTAGTGTACTTGAACTTTTGCATTTTCCTATACGACAAATGGAATCTACATTAATTGCAACCGTAGCTATGGGCATTCATATATCATTAAAACAAATATCTTTATGAAACACACTTACATTCCAGTCACACGACTGAAGGCACGCTGACCCGTATACAGCCAGCCACAAGATTAGAATAAATCACCCAATTATAGGTACGCTGACCCGAATAAACCTAGTCACATTGTCAGAATAAATCACCCACTATAGATACGCTGACTTGCATAAAACACATTCACATGTGATGGGGAAAAACAGATCTCAATACTCTGACTTATTAATCAAAAGTCTTGAGTTCAATGCGTTGGATAGAGATATGCAGATGCATGATATGAGTGATTTTGAATCAATAATATATGTAATTAATAACTCTAAAAACATTTGTATTCCAAGTGGACCCATTTACAACAGTCTATCGTAAACATGTCATGTGATGTCCGAATACTAGTATATAATAAAATGAAATCTCTGAAAAATGATAATGCAATGTTTTTCTTTTAAGTATATAGTATTTGATTTGCCAAAGATTTACATTAAACAGATTTTGACGATTCAAGGTAATTTAATTAGATTTGTTAAACACTGTCTTGTCTTGCCGATCTTCAAAATTAGTTCTTTACTATTGTGAGTTAAAGTACTACTCACTTCTATAAATCATTTATAGCTTCCACAATACTAAAAATGTGTTTTCGTATATTTTATAGGGCAGTACATTGTGACATCATTTAGTTACATTTTTGCCATGTAGCATGTACTAACATTCACGGACTGCCGCTGTTGTATTAACCAGATAACACACACGTATAACAACAGCATCACGCACACGCGTGCAAAATTTGAACAAGTCGTCTTCTTATATCAATATAATATATGATAAGATGAGAATAAGGATGTATTCAGCAACTGGTATTCATCATGGTAACACACTCTGAACTCCAAGTAAATATAAAAATCAATATGAAATATGAGAAACTGCAGTCTTCGCCGTGCACATTGGAAATTAATTAATTTTAATGTAAGAAAAAATGATTTGAAAAATGTACAGTTTCATATGAGATTGCCCGCTATAATTTTTTAATATAATCTGCTGTATTTGTTGTGGTATAATCAAATATACTAGTTGCGTAAAACTGTGTCGTATTATCTTACTCTTCCCATGCATGCTATAAGTATAGTGCAGTTATATATCGGCATTACATGGATGTATATGGTTGCCAACTTGCATAGTGTACACCGTACAGATCGTGATATATTATCTAGACATCGATCTAGCTCATAGGCAAATGCCATCAATAACACCATTCGTCTTCCTACAATGCATTGTGTACTTATCGTCTCGCCATTTCCCTCTGTAAACACATTGTATACATACATCGTTTGTTTAACATTTGAATCATTGTAGTATATTAGTATAACTATTGTATAGTTATGGTTTGATTATTATATTCATACTAAGGCTATATTATTTGTATTCATATTTCAGAATTTTAATTATTATTAAATACTGATGACAATTGCGTCCACAATGCCATGCCATGTTAAAAAATTCAGGTCACGTGGGTATTCAAATCTCACAGGAACTTTTAAATTTATTTTCACTTTTGTATGCAGATGATGTGACCATTTTTAGTGATTCTCCTATTGGCTTACAGAGACTTCTGTCGATTTTGGAAAAAAATTGTACACTTTGCAAAATGTCGGTAAACTTAAGTAAAACAGAAATTATAGTTTTTAGACGCGGGGGCATTGTTAAGAAAAGTGAAAACTGGGCTTTTGGAGGAACACGGATTAATACAGTGAGTTACTACAAATACCTTGGTTTATTGATCTCTAGTAGACATTCATGGTCAATGGCTGTAAATACATTAGCAAGACAAGCACAAAAAGCGATGGGGGCAATTTTTCGCATGATACATAATACTGGGAGTCTTCCATATAATGATTATTTTAAATTATTTGATGGTATGATTTTACCAATTGAGTTACGGATCAGAGATATGGGGACATAATAGGTATCAGGTAGTAGAAAGAGCCCAGTTAAAATATGCAAAGCTTTTTTAGGAGTTAAGTCATCCACATCCGACGTTGCAGTACTCGGAGAGTGTGGTAGATACCCCTATATAATTATACAGTCAAAAAGTGTATGAAATACTGGCTAAGACTATTAACCATGCACCCAAGTAGAGTTTCTAAGCAAGCTTATAATCTTGATAAAAATGACAGAATGTCATAGGCAACACACATAAAATCTATTCTTTTTGAGTTTGGTTTTGGTGAAGTGTGGTTTTGGCAGGGTCCTGGTGACCCTGAAGCCTTTCTCTGTCAATTCATGTCAAGGGCAAATGATATTTTTAGACAAAATTGGAGAGCGGAGGTGTGTACAAAAGACAAACTACGTACATATTGTAATTTCAAAGTCCTATTCCAGAGGGAAGATTATTTATTATTTATTAGTAATGTTAAATTGAGAAGAACATTATCATGCTTTAGATGTTCCAGTCATGTATTGGCAATAGAGGGCGACAGGGTCATGGGGCTTGACATTGATTATAGACTTTGTCAAGTCTGTGACATGATGGAAGTAGAGGACGAATATCATTTCATTATGATATGTCCTCTGTACGAGATGCTTAGAAAGCGGTTCATTCCCATTTGGTCTTATACAAATCCGTCTGTAAATAAGTTTTATTCTTTAATATCATGTAATTCATTTGAAATTATTAGTAACTTAGCTGTTTTTATTCAAAATGCATTTAAGTTGAGACAAGATGTACTTGACCTATGACCAAAGATTTGTTGCATCAGTATTGTAATAAGCAAAAGGGGCCAGTGAGTGGCCTATAAGAGCAAATACAATATATATGTTTTTTTTTGACAATGCCATGCGATCGCTCTGAGCATGGGAAGTGGCGTGCCATCATGGTTGACTAATTCATTAAGCTTGTTTTCGCAGAGAACCTTTGCAAATACACGAACAAATATATTTTATATTTTAGATTCCAATCTCGCCAGAGAGAACAATATGTTAGTTGACAGCCACAGTGTGAACAACCCCCACTTCTCGATAATATCGATCTATACTTAGATTTTAACGATTTTTTCCGCGCCATCTGGTGCACTCGTCTGAGCCTGTAATGTATCGCACAACATCTATTAATTATGAATCGCTTAATCCGTCAGTAGAACCTCCACATGTGTACAATGTTCAGACGATGCTGGGTACAACAATCGAATCATCGCCCAGTCAACATATGTGCATACAGTCATTATATGTTCACTAGTTATACTCAAATACACATGCGTGTTAGAATTACTTGGTTGGCTGTTTGATAAAATAATGCAATTTCTATTGAATACATAATATGAATGTCCTACAGACTCAAAATAAACATAGTGTTATTGCAATACAGTTTCATCTCTTCGAGTATTGAATAGGGCGAGATGATATTATTCAATGATTATGCATAGAAAACGTATATTCGTTATATTGTTGGCAGTATCCAATATATCAAGAGAGAATGGTACTTTATTTCCGCGAGAAAGCAGTTCTTTCTCATAATTATACATTATTCAGTCAGTACCGCTGCCTGAAGTATTATATATGATTATAATCAATTACTCTTTGAATATGAATCATGTTGATTGGTTAATTATAAGTGGGATTTGTTTTACTGTTATTCTATACTGGGAATTGGACTGAACAGCGGATGTTCAAGTAAAGCATTCATTGGCAATGATAATGATTAAACATTTTTCTGATCTTAATGTTATGACATCGAGTTCAAAGCGTAACCGTTAATGAATAATACGACAGCTACTGGTTGTCTGTGCAATGCAGAATATAATTATGAGACTCGCATATGTTTTTTTTACTGAAGATCATCCACAATTGTGGTTGTGAGACTGTGCATGTAATTGCATTTTGTACTCGTCTGAGTGCACGTAGACATCTTTGCCAGACTCACAAGCGATGTGTCTTAGTCAGGGCATCTTCACAGCAAAACGTTGCTTTACATCTGTACCACTTTATCACGGTTCAAATGATAATCAATACATCTACTGGCTTAAGTTGTAATCATTTGAAATATCACACTGATTGGATTTATTTAGTTTTAAATCTTTCGCTTAGAATTCAAGATTCAAATAATAACAAACGTCATTCTCCGAGGTCGTGTTGTGGTGCACGTTCCATATTTCGCCAGTAATTAATTTGAAAGATGCTTCGATATTATCCGCAGTATACGTTGAATAGTAAGGCGATTATCAACGCCATAG